CCGATCTCAAAGTCTGTTGGATGGTTCGAGTTGGTTTGAAAATGGTTTTTACTTGGTGTTTCTCCAGTATCTTGCCGATCCTGTCCGTGACTCCCTGTATGTACGGGAGGCATATTTTCAGTCGCCCTGTATAATGTAAACTATTGCAATAGTGCAATAGTAAATTAATTAGTGTGTAAGTCAGCTCAAAAACTGTGGAAAACCTCGGTGACCTAAAATCTTTCTAGAGTCAAGCACATTCTTTCTTTGGGATAGAGATGTTGATCAGAGGAAAATTGACTATAATCTATACAGGATCCGCAATTAGAGCTACTTTTTTCATATTTTTCTTTTCTTTAACCTCGAGCCCGGTTCCTAGACACCCTATTGAGCCAAACCCGATCCCCCTTTCTAATTGATGTAAACTTGGGAATCGCAAAAGGCACTGCTGGCAGTCGCCGTTCAATTCGAAGTTGACTTATTAGCGAGGACTTTGACAGATGGGGTGTCGACACAGCCCGGGCCTAAAAAATTGTTCGCCAAATATTGAATTCCTGGATCAACGGGGCGATCCAACATCCAGAATTAGTCGTTATGGATTATGACAACTGAGTCCATGTTTCGATACTTAATCGTAGAGACGCTGTTGTGGTGGTTGCTTAAAACCTGTTTGTTAAAATTTACAGAAACAGTTTGGATAGCGAACAGTGTCTTATATTTTATGATAAAACCAGATTCATAAAAAGCCGATAAAAACTTGGAAAAAAAGGCGCACGAATTAGTCTCAAGGGCTTGAATAAAAAAAGCAAAACTGGATGGTAAACCGTCTTTAAAAACTGTTAAAAATTCGGGAAAATATATGTCTTTTTTCAAGGCTAACAAACAGGCTAAATAACAGTTTAGATAAGTCACTTGAAAAAATCAATACAAATACAATAAAAAGACATACAAAGTTAGAAATACACTTTTGTAAAAATTTCAATAAGTATAAGAAAATTTGAAAAAACAACCAACGTTTTTTGGCCGTTTCGTCATTATTTTAGATAATATTAGGACTGAAGGCAGTAGCGGCGCCAGCTTTATTTTCCGCTTGGGCGAAAGCCGGCGGAAATTTTTTTTAAGATGGGCATGAGATATTTATATTTTTAATTGTAAGAGTTGGATATAATATGTCTGTTTTACAAAATATTTTGTTTTCTCCTTTGGCCGACCATAACAAGGAGCCAACAGAGTTTGACAAGACCTTGAGTGTCCCAATATGAATTTACAATACAAATATTATCCCAGATTTTATCTACTTTCGTAGGATACCGCAATAAATGTTAAAAAAATATATTTCAGAACTGTGAGCATTTTTTTAAACGTTATTATATAGGAAACAAATGCTGAATGAAATGAGCTACAACACTAATCTTGTTATAAAAACTATCATAAACAAATCAATTGTTTGAATTGAATAATTTATTTTACTACACGAAATTAGATTTCAAATATTTAAATTAACGAATACCATTATAAACATTGAATAAAACTTTAATAAGGTAGTGAAATTATTGAATAATGAAATAGTCATTCGAGCAAACGAACCTATAATTAACTCTAAATCTATTTTTTTGTAATATAGTTTCACATAGGTGTTGTCATTGCAATATTAGATAGTTTATTAATTTCATTGAAGACTAAACTAAAATTTTGCAAACTAAGTGTGAGATCTAAGTGTTTATTTTAAGATTATTTGTGACTTAATACCTCTTAGTGGTATTTGGTAGTGACTTTGTCTCGTTTTCAATTCAAACTATATCACATTGGTAATGGTTAGCTAAATAAATAAACTTTCTAAGTTTGAGAAAATAGGTTAAATGTACTAAATCATGTTTTCACGCCCATCTTCTGTTTCTGCAGCCCTCTTCCAGTTCTTGTAGCCTTCAGTAACAAAACTTAAACTGCTGGTTCCACCTTGTTTGGAGAAAAATCTACAAGGGAAAACGGAATACAACATCTTTGAGAATGCTGTACTTAATCCAAGATACAAAACTCGACTTAAAACTACGAAGATCACAACCATACTGTTTTTTAGGAAAACTTGTCCTAGCAGGAAACAAGTACCCATAAATAGAAATAGATTAGAAAATAGTTTTTTAATATTAAGTAGGTCCATAAAAATTTACTTTTTAATTTCCGAACAACTCGGAATGTTTTCACGTTCACTATCATTATTGTCGAATTTGATAGGATTTTTTAATTCGCAATGATTTACATCGCTATTAAAAGTGGTTGGGCGAATGGTTGAGCGAGACAAATTTTGGTTGGGCACTCGCAACCTCTCCCACCCCTAGCGCCGCCACTGCCTGAAGAAAGCTAAAGGAAACTACAGGGTGGTTTTTTGGTGCGAAAAAAATATTTTATATGACACAGAGTGTCTCAGAAAAGCGAGGCAAGGTCAAAGTGTATTTTTTTAAATAGAACTACCCATTTTTCATTAGCTCATGAAATTCAACTTGAAACGCTGCATATGTACCGTAACTTGTTTTTTTCTTACTTGCGACGTTGGCAGATTATCGCCATTTTAGTAAAATTTTGCTTGAAAACATGGTATCTAAAATTTTTTTGTAGAAGCAAAAAAAAGCAGTTAGAGATACAACAAAATACGTCTTTCCAATCACCACAGATCCGTTAAGAATTCTATTGAACAAAAATATCAATACATTGTACAAGGTGTGAACAATCTCGACTTCAATATGAAACTTTTTAATGCAATATAACTTTTGTTTTTCAAATGGAAGTACCTGTATATTAATCCTTCATTAGATAGACAATTTACAAAGTTACAAATTTGCATTTACACTTTAAGTTGTGAAATGAACCGTTTTCAAATTATAAATTATTTTATTTAAAAATCTCAAACAGTTATAACATTTTGTAAGGTGGCTATGGAATTCATTAAATAAGTGTCAAAATTTGATGATACCTGACATAATCAAAGAAGAAAAGTGCAAGGTTTTATAAAATGAATGGAATTTCATAGCAAAAAATGCAATAAAACTGCATACGTCGATAAATATAAAATTATACCTACAGTGATATTTTAAAATAAATGTTCAATATGATTTCCGTGAACATTTAAGCAACTATTAATATCTACGTTTTTGAAATGAATCCCTAACGCAGTTCAAAACAATATTATTAATGTTTCGAAAAACAGTTGTGATTCGTACCTTCGTGTCATCTTTTGTAGTTGGATTTATTTTATAAATTTAGTTTTTGACGTAAGTAAGAAGTCCATTTTTGTCAAATCGGATGAACGAGGTGGCCACTGGACAGGCCCACCTCTGCCTATCCACCTCTCAGGAAATTAATTATTTAAGTACTCGTGAATTTGAGCTGTATGGTGAACTGGAGCTCCATCATGTAAATACCACATTATTTCCTTGATATAATTAGGCAAATGATCAATTAAACGTGGCAATTCAAATTTTGACACTTATTTATTGATTTCCATAGCCACCTTACAAAATGTAACAACTTTTTGAAATTTTTAAATAAAATAAATTATAATTTGAAAACGGTTGATTTCACAGCTTACTGTAAATGCAAATTTGTAACTTTGTAAATTGTCTATCTAATGACGTATTAATATATAGGTACTATCATTTGAAAAACAAAAGTTATATTGCGTTAAATAGTTTTAGATTGAAGTCCACATTGTTAACACCCTGTACAATGTATTCATATTTCGGGTCAATAGAATTCTTAACGAATCTGTGGTGATTGGAAGACGTATTTTTTGGTATCTTTAACTGCTTTTTTTTGCTTCTACAATTAATTTTTAGATACTATGTTTTTAAGCAAATTTTTACTATAATGGCGATAATCTGCCAACGTCGCAAGTAAGAAAAAACAATTTACCGTGCATATGCAGGGTTTCCAGCTGGATTCCATGAGCTAATAAAAAATGGGTAGTTCTATTTAAAAAAATACACTTTGACCTTGCCTCGCTTTTCTGAGACACTCTGTGTCATATAAAATATTTTTAAAATGTGCGCACTTTGTGTGGGAATAACTTTTATATGAAACTATTTTTCGAAAGTTTAACACCATCGGAAATAATGGACTTTATCGCACTAAAAAACCACCCTGTAATTATTTTGGATGTTTTTGAAAATTTTCCGGCAATGAAGTTAAAACAAAAGTTTCTAAATAGTTTTAACATTTTTTATCGAAATTAAATATTCTGACAATCTGATTAAAACAAAATTCCTACCTTGCAAAAAATGCTGCAGCTGCTGAAGCCTGAGCCAGATTATTCCCAACAGAGTTCACAGCATAGACGTACTTGGTCTCTGCATACACACCAAAAACGCCCGCACTATCACAAACCACGTTTTGCTGACGATAGGTCAATCCTCGCACCTGATGATTAGGCGATACAACCGCGTTTCCGAATTGAGTTTGAGTGCACAGAGCTTGAGAGTTCACTGTGGCACTTTTAGCAGGATGACTTTTTGCAGTGGCAGAAACTGAGCATTTGTTCGAGCTTTGTGGCAGGCGGCTTTTTCCGTATCTAGTCGCGTCTAGAGGCATGTTATTTTTGGCGCGCAAATTCGCCGAAATTCCGGGCTTTGATCGGACGCGTCTGACGACTCCGGTTGGCTCCGGTGATCCGGTTGAAGTTGTGGTAGGCACTGATGATAAAGTTCCGTGTTTTGCGCGTCCATTCACCGCCATTGCCGTCGTTGCCGTCGTCGTCGTCTCCCACTCTCGATCGTGGACTCTTCCGCAAGAAGAGGGCCGCAGATAGTGCTGATGAGGATTGTGTTGTCCATTCATGTTCCGTTCATATGGGGGCACATACTCGGACTTTTTTATTATGTCTAGGTCGATCTGAAACAGGAGACATTTACGTCAGTTCCTTCGTTCCTGCTTTGGACTTAGGACTATTTTGCAAAAACACGAATTGAGGTGGAATTCTCTTATGGGATATCATTCATTGAGCGCAATTAAATTCGATGATTTAGAGTAATTAGTCGAATCTAGTCGTCCCCACGGTTGACAAAATAAAGCCAGTCAATTCTAAAAAAATGCCCGATTATTTTTGGAGCAGCATACAACATTCATCCACGACTCACGTATTTGCATCATCAAGTCATTATCAAGTTGCTCTTAATAGAAGAGATAAACGAATAAATTTCTCTCCTTTTTCTCCTTCGTTGTGCCCAGAACTTGCTTTACCTATTCCAATTATTTAAGCAGTTAAAACGAGAGCTAAAACCGAAATGCCAACATTAACTGCAAGCAAAATCGAAGCTCGCAGAAGCGGTTGTCGCAAAAGGACATAAAACAAATAAATATTTTAACAATGTCAAACAAAAAACTAGTATTGACAATCAAACGAGGTATAGATATAAGATTATTTATAAGAAATTGTTCAAAACTGACAGAAGAGTGCCCGGTTTTGGGCAAAAATCTGCTGCAGATCTCTAGAGGATTGAAATTTCTTGTTCAGCATGTGCGTCTGACTGCCAATAGATTTTTAAAATATTGTTACTTTTCTTTTTTTCTTTGGTCGATTCAGCTCTTTGGTTTCACGAATATTTGTATAAATGTTGCATTCAAGTGATAAAATAATATTTGGATTGTCGATAATTGTAGTTTTGTACAATTATTTTATACAATCACTTTTATAACCATTTTCAAATTAGTTTTTCTGTAGAACTGAATGAGAAGCTTATAGAGCTCGAAAATTGTTAGACAATCTGTTTTCAAGAAGAATTGCCTAAGCTAAATGGTTCCAGATGGTTTAAAATGTTCAATTTTATGTCGCAAACGTTTTTGTTTCCCGAATGCATTGATTGTTCACTTGCTTGTGGTTTTTATCGAAAAAATCCAATATGTCACTGAAAGATTTCAAAACGCACGTTTAATAAAATAAGTTACACCTTAATATACAATTTTTTTTAAATTATAAGACACTTTAATATACAATTTTAATTTCCCCAAATAAACCAAGAATAATGAAGATCAAACGTACTAAACAAGAAATTAAACTATTTTATAACTCAGTCTCAGTGGGTAAACGTAAAGTTAGTGAACATATCTAGCAGGAAAATAGCATTAATAATAGTATAACTGAGCATATATAATTATAACTGAGCATAAGACAAGCGTGTCGAGCTTTATCTCGAGAGCTAGTAAGAAAATTATAACTGGAAACCACTAATTGACACTGATTATGACCATAATTAGCAGTGAAATAATATAGATTTTAAATGGCACGAAAGTAACCCAACCTCGAATTAGTAACATGTATTCGTTTTATGTTGGTAATGTGATATTTGCTTAGTGACCAGATAATTACATCAAATTTGTTATGGAATTTATGCATTTTATATATGAATACTTCAGAAGGTTTATTCATATTGGTTGGGTTTAAACATTACCAAATGAATTGCACAAACAACAATAAATTTCTATCAAACTATCAGTTTTTGCAACCTTATTTTGGCCCCGTTTTCATCGCACTTATCTTGATGATTGAAAGTTGGAAAAACTTTACCAGACTGTTCGCCACACTGTTAAGGCCGACTAGTCAAGTTCCTTAATCGATTTCATTTGTTATAATTTTAACTTTAGTCTGTTTCTAGTAAATTTGTCTTTTACAATTTTAGACCTTTAGACCATTTCTGACTGTTGTTTTACATGTTCGGTTCGGTGCTCTTGCGGATGTTCACTGTTCACTTTTAATTTGACGATGGCCCTGATGATGACGTAATTGTCGAAAGCGCTTGGCCTTTTTATACATACATACATACATACATACACACTTATTTACAAAAACTTGTTCGCTTGAATTTCATCCAGTGTGTACACACCAACTTCTTATTGTTATTAATAAAGAAGTTATTATTATTATTAACATTATTAGTAAATTAAAATATTAAAGCCCGAATTGGAACTCATGCCCAAATTACAAAAAAAACACAATCGAGAACTCTAGTTATTTGCATGTGTGCGTCTGAAGAATGTATAAAACGTCTAATTATGCACGTCGTAGCCAAAGCAAAATGGGTATTTTTATTTTATGTCGAAAGAGTTGAGTTTCAAATTAAACTATCGTATTACACCAGCTCTTCTTTAAAGATCGGCTATTATACTTTAAGTAGTTTTAGCAGAGATGACTTTAACGGAATTTACATAGTTTCAATGGAAAATTCAAGTTTTATTATCCATCATTTTCGCGAATTACTAATTCGACAAAGAACGTTTATTTATTAACAAATTTTTGGACTTTTTCTTCGGGAAATGTTTCAGATCAGGCTTCTTCCTCTTAAACAAAATCTGGAAGAATCCAAATTTCAAATTACAGTGTAAAAACAGAGGTAAAAAACAATAAATACTCATAATCAGAAACGGAAGATATTTTATCTTTTTAGAACTTTTAGCCCTTAAACGCGATTTTCCAATACTCCTTTACTGCCCGCATTATATGCAACCCAAAACATGAAAGTTTGCAACATAATACCTTAAATCTCTAACTTGAAGCAATTGCAAAAACTCCCACAAAATAAGGATGTATCCTTTAACAGAAATTAGTTTACTTCATGCTTTGATTAACTTCATTGAAGCGTACGTCTTCACATGTTTCTTTTTGTCACATTTTTTTATATAAATACTAATGACATCATATGTGTTTGATAAATAATAAATTAGACACAGGCTCCATTCGGTTCATAATACGACTCATTCATAATGTTGAACTGGAATGGAAGATTTGCATTTAGAGTAGAAACTATGTGCAAGGCAGGATGATAAAGTAAAAGATCATTGGTTAAGAAGACTATGATGTTGAAAGCTGTCTTTCTCTGAGTAGGATTTCCAGATCGCTAAAACGCAGAAGTGTCTATTGCGTCTAAAAAGGAACATTCTTTTAATAGTTAAACTATTTTTTAAATATCCAAACAATAAAGAGATAGAGGCAAAATTTTCCAAGTTTAAGATTCTCGAAGTTTTGCATCATTTTTTCATGATATCACTGAAAGGGCAGGAGCAAAAATGTTCAAAGCGGTTAAAACTGTATATTTGAATAACCAGGATATTTTCAGTAGAAGCCCGTGTAAACTGTGTTTTCTTGGGTAGACCTTATCAGAAATGTTTAGCTTACTGACCTTTGAAAGAGGATTTGAAATTTTCAACTCAATCCAAGTTTAGGAGCCCAACATTTGCCTTAACTAATATTTCTAAAATCCGCAATTTGCAGTGATTCCAGGTTTTTTGGTTTTATCCTGAACACTGAACATTACGGTATAATTTTGCTCTCATAATCGCTCAGTAAATCCCTAAAATGCAAGTGTCTCACTGAAATATAATTTTTATTGTTCTTTTAAATTAAACATTAAGTGAAAAATGCAATTACAAGATACTGATTAGTGCAGTTTGGAAGTGTTAATACTGATACTGCTGAACCAAATCGGTGCATTTTAAAGGCAAAACCCCAAATAGCGCCATTTTCAGCCTCCCCAACCTGATGAATCACGTTCTTGAAAGGACAAAAGCTTTCAATTAAGCATTTATTCCACCGAATCCATTATCGCATACCAATAAATCAGCGATAATTGAATCATACCACAGTTAAACTAAGAACAGGAGACACAAAATAGGAAATGGAGTAAAAACTCGGGGTCCCGCTTTTTGTAGACGACTTTCCCTTTCGCTCTGGCATTTTGACAAATCTGTTTGTTTGGTAATGGTGGAGCTTATTTTGTTGTGGCGATATTTTTGGTTGGTTTGTCGGATCGGTTATTTCCTGTCGCGTATGTCTCTGTTAATTTCTCGGCATTTGTTCTCGCTTTTTCACGTTGAAAGGAATTTTACTTGTGGTGCCGCCGAGAAAATCGCGTCATGTTTTGCTCGCTATTTCCACGCGTCGTTCATTGTTTAAATAATAAATATTTTCCGCGAAAAGGGGATTTATTTAGTTCACAAATTGGAAAACGTTCCTCCCGCATTGCTCATTAAAATGCCTGCCTGATTTTATCTCGTTCTGATTCTAATTTATTTCTCATTTCAAATTAACTCATAAGAATTGTTTTTCGGCTAAGCAAATATTTTTCCTTTTTATCCATCACAGTGAATATTTTTACTGAATTTTTATTTGAACATATTAAAATCAGATTTTACTCAAGCACTGTAAATGTATCTGCCGTTGTCACATGCAGGTTTTGTTCGAAATGCTACTTTCATAGTGGGTGTGATAAAATAAAAATGATTATAAAAAGGCAGATCCGGCTTTTTAGCGAGTTTTACTCATATTAATTCCACTGGTTTGAGAAAACTGCCATTATTTCCTTATCGATGGTTCTCTTTCTAAAAAGGCCATTCTGTTCTCTCTGGAATGATGTTAAATAGTTAGCGTTCTTGCTCATTTTGCTTCCGGGAAATGAGCAAAAACGGGACGGAAAACATGACATTTTGGTAAAATCTTGCGCCTAAGCGTCTGATATTCAAATTTCTCGGCCAAACCTAGTCGAAATTCCTCACTCATGTTATGACTGAATCGAATTTTGAATTCTCTATCCAACGATGTCAAAACCAATTCTGTCGCTCAAATAGTTCTTGAGCAACTTCGAAAAAAGCAGCGTCATGTTTGAGTCGATCTGCAACTGGAAAAAAAACACGCAAATCCAAAACTTCCTGAAATCAAGACTTTTTTGAGAAAACTGCCAACATTTTCTTATCAATGGTTCACTTTCTAAAAAGGCCATTTTGTTCTCTCTGAAATGATGAAAAAATGAAGTGAACCATGAAATGTTCCCAAACACATTGATAATGATAAGAGACAAATAACAAAAACACCGAACTCATAAAAACTAACTGACTTAACAAAA